TGAATCCTGAGTGAGTGCAGTTTCTTCCGGAGTCTCTCCTGTGAAAGCAGCACAGGATATAGTTTGTAGCTCGACCATCATAAGGATCCATGTTCAGCACAGCATTAGAGTCGACGATTTCACACTAATCCCTTTTGCACTCCAAGCTAAACTGTATCACTTTGCTGGGGATAAGCAAGATATTTTTACTTTCTTAAACTTTCTGAGAAAACTCTTTGGATTGTGTCCATGGAACAAAGATTATATGCTAAGGAAAAGGAATCTACATTTATCTCCTTAGCAGTTTATAATGATAATGAAAATTATTAACAGTGAATGGGTGCTCTTAAGAAGAAAATTATCATGATTTGCAGAGAATCAGGAAGGTGCTGGGAAAAATCTTTGTCCTTTTGTGAACAAAAAAGCAGAAAAAGCTATTAACTTTGGTCATTCGGAACATTTAGTTTTGAATCCAAAATTTTATGAAAAACAGTTACTTTAAAGCTGTAGTTTGTTCTGAGGCTGTTTTATATCTGGTCTAGAAATAGCAATATTAACCATCAGGCCATGAGATGGGGTGTTTTTTCCTCTTTTCTTTTAGGTGGGAAGAGCTGAAGAAAGTGGTACCTCCCTTCTCTAACTTAATCTGAACTCAAAATAACTTTTTGTTCTCTTGCTGTAACAGCCCTGTTTCTGAGTCACTGTATGAAAAAGAGACTGGGAAGTGTTGAATACTGTAGATTAAACACTTCAAAGCCAACTTTGACTAAGTTTTATGCATGCTTCAGAGTAGACTAATGTACAATAGTATCCAGGAAACTCAGCCAGTAATTCATGAGAGTCCAAAATGTTGTTCTTAGGATGAATCATAGCAGCATAAATGATAGGATTGGAGAAGATCCTTTAGGTCATCCAGTTCAAAGCCTGTGTCTCTTCCCCTTCACTAATCCCCACTAGGATTTAATCTACCCTATCTTTACGTATCTCTCCTATACTTGCCTCAGCCACCTCCCTGGCCTCCCTGGTTAGTTTCTTCCATTGCCTAATTGCTTAACCCAAAGATCTTTAAACCTTACACCATAATGCGTAGCATGAACAATTTATGACTACAGAAAACAATCTTTTCTCCTCCCTTCTGCCTTCATGCTCAGATATCATCCCTCCCTTTAAATGGCTTTTTTTCCCCTCTCTAGCTGCATGAATAATAATCCCAGGAAGGGTTTTTTGTTTTGTTTTCTTTTATTTCCATCTGTCTTGTGATACTTCTGCCTCTATAACTGGTTTTCTTTGAACTTTCTCTCAGCTTTCAAGCTTCAAGAGACTCAAAAATATAGTTTGATCTAAAAATGAACTTTCTGTGACTACAATAATATCTATGCATTAAGCCATGCTTTTCGAAAGGCAAATTAATGTGATGAGGTGTTCAGTTTCTTTGTTTATAGATATTGCTTTGATGAGAATGCTAATGTTCTCTGATTGGCAAATATCAAAAACAACTTGAGGGACAAGTGGGTGTGGGTGAAGTGGTTAAGTGGGTGAAGGTGGAATCCATCTGTGGCACTGTGTTTTAACCTCAGATATATGCAATCTCGTGTTAGCGATGAGGATATTAATTTAATCTATCACATATTTTAACTCTATGATGAAAACTTGTCTGCAAAAACTCTTTGGTTTGCCCACTGCACAGAGGTTAAAATTTGTCATGATCATTTCGAAGCACAGTTTCCTAATTTATAACTGTGCTGATAGATAGAGATAGAAACCTTTCACTATACATCTATCTAGGACAGCTATTTGCTGGGCTTATGCTCAGACCAGTATTATTCTGAGAAGATTTTTTGATGGTGTACAGAATGAAACAGTTTTAAAAACTTCATAGTGGGAGCTATGAAGATGGAAGAATGGAAGAAAGGTTTTTTTCTGATGAAATGGGGTAGAGGAGCTTTGATCTACAGAATTTTAATTTTATACCATGGATTTCTTTGGATTTGCCTAGGCTTGCCAGAATGTACTGACAATAAACCTCCCTGATGTTAATCATCTGACCTACCATGATATGTCCTGTGCCAGTTTGATCAATGTGAAATTTATGTTGCTCTCCTAGATGACTAATAAATACTGCATGTTGAAAAATACAGGGCTGAGGTGGGAAAGCTCATTATTACAAGGCACGTTGTCACACTGCCTCAAATTTCAGAGTTACACAATAAAAATAGCCTCAATCTATACTTCATGTGTCAACCCACCTCTCCCACAATTTGCGCATGCAGTAGTACTTTGATTCATGCCGAAGTATTCCAGGTTCTCTGTAGCTATGCATAGTACTGTTGGGCAAAGCTGTGTGAAATTAAAATAATTCCTGCTATATTGCTTCAGTTCTGCCAGCCTATTATTGCAGTTAACACATTAGGTTGAGTTGATCCACGGCATCTCATGAACTTGAAAGTAACCATTAATATTGCCAATTTTGGCATGACAGTTTGTAGAAACAGATATGAGGATTATTGGTAAGAAATCAGTGTCATGGAAATAACTATTTTTAGAGGCAGAATCTTTGGCGCTATTTTATATCTCCAATAATTATTTTTGCTTTATAATTTTATATTTACAATTTTAATTATTAACATATTATACCTTCAGCCTACTAAAGCAAAAGATACATTTGGATATTATAGCCTTTTCATGAAAATCTTTTTCCCTTGTTTTTATTAAAACCTCCCCTTGCTTTATTTCTTGCCATGATGCCTCTTAGATGTCCTCTAGACAGTCCTCAAATGTAGTAGATAACAAGGGGAATGTGCAGTGGCAGTGTCATATGTCTTGAAGTGCGCGTCTCAGTTGGCAATGCTAATGAACAGGTTAGTGCCTCTTGGTCTCCCTGGTAAATCTTTGGCTGCTCTCTTAAATGCAGGCAGTCAACAGTGAGTATTATCCACCTTTTTGCTGTTTCTTCTCTGAACGACATGCGTGTTCAGCTTTTGTAAGAATGTGCAGAAAACAATTTCCAAACTCTTGGGAAGTCTTTTCCCTGATTTTGGTGGGAAAGTAAGCCATTTTACAGTATCTTTTTATATTCTAGCACACAGAGCTGTAGACTGTTTTCCAGATGTAGTTGTATCAAGGTCACATAGTGAGGAACAGCATTTACTCTGGGCTCTGCAGTGGCTTCTCTAGTTCTAAGCTGCATTGGGCTACATGGCCCATTTCACCGCAAACGCGTGTCTTCTACAGCTTTTCCCACTGTACTAATTTTTAGGTGACTTTCTTTAACAAGCATGTGTTTAAGATTGCTGTTTCCATGATGTACTTCAAGTTGTATCTTCTTCTATCTTCCCTCAGCCTTGTTAATCTCTTAGGCCCTACGGCAGTATTTCTTCATCCTCTCCAGTATGTTTAGCTCATCTTGGTTTCTTATAATCCACACATTTCATTAATGTGCTGCCTACCTCCTTCTTCTAGATCATTAATGAAGGCATTAAACAGTTGGGACCTAATGCTGATCCTTCTGGCATCCTAGCACGTGCTAAGTGATAAGAGTCTTGAACAAAGGAACTGCTATGCTGGAGCTGGCCTTTTTAAAGCCAAGTCAGCTTTTAACATGGCATTTTTAATTATCGTTTTTAAAAAAAGGAAAGTAGGAACTGTAGTGAGAGGAGCCTCTTAGCCTACTGGGAGTCTTGGGATTCCAGCTCTTCCAGAAATCTTACTTCCTTAGTCTTTTGGACCTTGTTGGTTTTATCCTTGATCTCCTGCTGTCTCTTAGCCTCATTGATGCTTTGCTTCAGGCTCAGGGCTTGAGGTAAAATTTGTTGAACCTATTACCATCAGTCATGAAAACCATTCATGCACATCCTGAAATGCCCAAGCACTGAAGAACAATGATAGTGCAAAAAAAAAAAAGGGGGGGGAACAAGAAACAGAAATCTAAATGTGTAGAATTGCATGAATCTAAATATAGGCATCCTCTTAAATGGTGTAGATACTTGGTGCTAAATTCTGTGTGAAAGTGATTCTGAAGGCATTTAGGCCTACAGACAGTGCACTGTGCCTGGGTTTGGAAGACCTGAATATTAAAATCTCATTCTACTGCTGACCTGCTGGATCCTTTCACCTCCCTGGACGTGTGGGGTTTTCAGCCTCCTTCAGCGATGGCTCATCAGAAAAAAATATTACATGAAAGCTGTGTATTATTTTTATTATTATTCATATGTCATTTGGAGATAGTGCCAATTTATTTTGAGGTGCTTTGCATTCATTAGAAAAGGATTAAATTGAATCATTTTCAACCAAAAATAATAGTGGACATGTAAGAAACACTGCTGGGTTAAATAATCACTTTAAATAAGCCATGCAAGTATGTGCATAGGCAAACTAATGTGATTATCTACTGTTCTTTTTTTGCATAGCTACTCCAAGCAATCTTTTTAGGAGTTCCTACCCACTTCTCTGATTTTGTTAGGTTCCTTATTGCGAAGATTCATTTCAGATCCAAAATGGAATCATCTCTTGTTTTACTGTTCTTTGAAACAGGGAGTTTGCTATTTTCCCCTCCCCCAAAGCACTAGTCTTATATAAAAAGCAGTCCTTATTAATGAATATACAGGACCTAATTTTCTGTTGTTTTGCAATTTGTACTGACAGTTCTACGTGGAAGAAAATGCAGACAAAATGCAACTAGATTAGAGTGACTGCATCTCAAATCAATTGCCCAGGTGTTCTCTGCCATTTTTTTCTGATGTAAAAATAGTCCATAATGTTTTAGTTTAAAGACTATTATCATCCATCGTATGCATAAAGAAGTTGATATAAAATTGCCTTTGTTGCTTTCATTCTTACAGTACCTACACTTGTGAGTGCTGGAATGTGCAAGTTATGCATTTTTATCGTAGTGGTTTTGCATGTAATAAATTGTTTCCTCTAGCTATAACCAAGGCTTTTACAAACTCTGACAGGATCAACAACATAGTGTATGCAGTTGAAAAGTATACTGAATTTTTAAGCATCTTCTTTCTCCTTTTTAGGTTTGTCTGAGGATGCAGCAGAAGAAGCAGAAAAGCCATGAAATCTGAAGACGGCCCTCAGGAAGAATTTTATCTGATGTCAAATACATTTATAATGCAGCAGTACCAATCCATTTTACTCTGTACTGATTGCAGCCTCCAGAAGGAGAGAGCTGTGTTAATTTGTACAAAAAATGTTCTCTTCTGATCATATTCGTTTGGATTCCCTGCCAACTACTAGCATCCTCTCTGTGACCAAAGTTTAAGCACTTACCCAACTGTTGTAGGGATGTTGTGTTATGTTTTGTGATATATCAGCCCTTTCTAAGGATTCTGTTGATTGATCAAAGACTGTTTACACACTGTTAAAAGCAACCTTTGTTTCAGGGTTTGTTTTATCTGTTTTTTAAGATATTCTGAACCATACCTCCCTTTGAGATTACATTAACATTTGTTTTATCACAGTTTTGACAAAACTATCTCCTTTCCTCCTTTACTAACATTCACAATTTCAGACAGCTGAATTAACTACCAGAAGAAAAGCTGCTAATCCATCAACTTTGTTTTTTCTCTATCATTCCTTATACAGACTCATGCCCCCAAGAGATATAGAGTAAAATATAGTTACTGGACATAAAGGGCATACCCTTTTGCCATTAACTATGTCACTGTGAATGTGAATAAAGTCTATACTGCAAGTATCCTGAGCACAGCAACACGTGGATCTCTTTGTGGTTACCTATGATTTCTGTTTTTCTTGTGAATCAGTCTGTTCTAGCGATGGGTTAGATTTCCAGAAGTGATTAGCAATTTTCGAGTGCCTAAATTTTTTTGAATCCAGCTAGGAGGGTGCTTAGAGGGTCCAGGCTTTAGAAAGTGCTGAGTACTCACATTCTGAAAGTCAGGCCCTTCAAGATGTTGGAAATGCAACACTCAGCAACTGCAAAACTGAGGCATTCAAAACATGTTTGAGAACCTTGGCCTAGGGTTTGGAAGTGTCTGAATAACAGGAGCTCATGTCTAAATTACTGAGAGTGAGATGAGCCTGATGTCAATAGAAGATATTTGGAGCTGAAAAGAACTGAGACCTGGGTCAAGTGTAAAGATGATGAGCTGCACAAGATCTCCCTTGGCTGTTGCTGATTTGTAGAAAATTATAAGCTGCAATCTTGGATGGCAGATGTTCTAGCCATAGAAGTCCCTTCAGCTCACTTTTGCACTGTTTTAGCAGGGATTGTAACGGTTGCTATAGTCTACACTAGACTTGTTTGATAGATAAAAAGGATACATTATTTTTCAGGAACTCTAAGCCAGCAATTTTCATCACCCCATATCTACTTTCAACCTCTTTGCATCCAGTCCTAAAACAAAACCAGTCTCTCCAGTTTGTACCAATTATGCAACTGCTGTTTAACTCTGTTGTCCTGCTCTGGCTCAGTAAGCATGATATAACTGTTTCTTGGACCCTTTTTCAACATGTTAGCTATTAAGTAGAGCCAAGAGGCTGGGTAACTGGGTAAGGCTACTGATAACTCCACAACTGAAGTGACCAGTGACTCCCATAAAAATGACTCTGTCCCACAATAGACCCCAGAGCTATGCAAGTTGTGGGGCCAGAAATCTTACTGCTTTCCCAGGAAGGAAAAATCCTACCCCCTGCTTATTGTGGAGTGATTCTGCTGGCTGAGTTGTCTTCGCTCTGATCTGTCCCCTGTGGTTTTTGTCAGGAGGGCAGTATCCAACCCATTGAAAAGGTACCCTACTGCGCTGTGAAAATTACACAATAAAATAATCTCCTGTAGTCTCCGTACACACCTCAGTGACCAAAGAAAATCCATGGAGAACTAATCAATTACTGTAGCTATTAGGCTTAAACTTTAACTATAGATCTCAAATCTTCCTTTGTCCTCTTGTCAGTGGCTACTAGGTATTTTAGAAAAATCAACTACAGTTACTACTGGAAGCCCGTGCCGTAGAAGTGCCATTATGCTGTAGAATCCTGAACCAAAGAATCCTACACTATACATGTATGATAGTAGCTGGAAAATACACTACTTTTAGACTTTCGTGAAATATATTATTCTATTGTAATTGTCATTACAGAGCATGATCCAAATGATCAGAGCTGCCTGGCTCTATTGGGAGTTTAGGGTAAACAATGACTAGTGACTCAGGTCAATTATACTGTGCACTCGTATTTCTTTAAGTTATTTTCTGTCATTTTAAAACGTAAGGTTCAGAGGCACTCCTATTTGTCTTTTGTACTCCATGCTTTGTAAAATGAAGTCTCATGGGAATCTTCTTATAGAAAGGGGAAAACATACTGGTTATAAAGAAAAAAAAGGTAGGACTGTCTATAGGAGTAATGTATGACCTCTTTGTATATTGTGCTAAATTGTGGAATTTGATAGCATCATCAGGATTTAAAAGAGAAATACTGTAGCAGTGAGTAAAAATTACTTGTTTTCCTCCAATGCCAAATAGCCTGGCTAATTCAAAGGCAGTCAGTCATTGAAATGTAGTCATTTAAACAGCAAGGCTGAGATGAAATATTGTAAAATAATTCTTAGCAGTTCTCAAATGTAATTTGAATTTAAAAAAAAATTAGACTGGAAAAAAATAAGCCAGTTACCTGAAGTTTTGAAGTTAGAGAGTTGGTCAACTGAAGTATGTAAGGAAACATTGCTAGTTTGGGGGACTAGATGTTCAGTTCTCACCAGCAATGTTTCTGAGGCCAGGAAAGACGTTGCTGACCATCAAACTATTATGAATAGGATTTTAGAGTAATACCTGGTCAGTTGTTCTGCTAATTATAATAACACACTGTTTTCAAATGAAATCAGATCATTAATATAAATGCCATATCTGGAACCCTAGTGACTGATTCTGCAAAAAGAATACTCATATAAAAACTCTTTCTTTCTTTTCAATATACTTAAATATGCAGCCTGTCTGTTCATTGAACTATTTGAAGAGAATTTAATATTTTTAGGTGGCACATAGGCAAAAATGAAGTTTAAATAATCATTTTATTAAAATACACACACACACACACACATATGTATGAAGAAAATATCATGACATTTTGAAAACCACACAGAGTCATGGCAACTTTTTTATTGTATATGTGCTATAGCACTTTGAAATGCATTTTCTAAGTCATAACCTAAAATATATACATCTTATTTCTATTAAGTGAGTAAATATTTTGTAAAGTTTTATTTTTTGAATATTATTGTCCAAGGGGTTTTTCTTTGATTTTGTTTTTGTGCTGTTGAAATTTAGAAAAACAGATTAAAGCAATTACTGCTCTGATGACCAAAATCTGGAGGCTTGGGCTCTGATGATCTTTTGGGCTTTGAATACAATGCTGAGTTCAAACCAGTGCTGTGGTTTCCAGCACCAGTTTGATTCTTTTGTCCAACTATTAATAAAGTATGAGCCAGAAAAACAACATTTCTTTACTTTCAAGGAGCAGTTTTTCACTGTATAATGTCTTGTCTTTTCTCTTCTTTAGCATGTACTATAGAAAGAGT